CCTGCTCCAGTGGGCAGCCTGGAGCAATAAGCAACAGGCTTCTGACACTTGTCAGGCACTCCCTGCCTGCCCCTCCCTTCATCACCACCCTTCTCTGCCTGAGCGAGGGAGGTGAAGCATTTGCAGCCATTACGGTATCCTCAGCCCTGTTGTCGCTGTCCTGGCAGCTCGTCTAGAAGTACAGAAGTAAACAACCTGTTTAAGAAAAAAGGGGAATATCTCCATTTTATAAAACACGTATTTTGTTTTCTGATTTCAGTTTGGGAATATGGAAAATATAGAAGATACGAAGAAGAAAATTAATACCATCTATAATCCTATCCCACCCATAGTGAAAATCATTATTTGGATTTTGGTGACTCCTTCTAGTTTTTTGTTTTCCTAGGCATGAATACATTTGGACAGATGCTCATGCATTATTTTTTTCAGAATGGGAGTCTTTTGTACTTACTGTTTTCAAACCCAATTTGTTTCCATGTGAAATTACGTATTGCGAACATTTTTCCTTGGAAAAGTGTTCTAATCCATTTCCATCCATCCTAAGCAGTGGCAAGCGGTGTTAGCAGCAGCCATGGCATGTTGCGGGGGAAAGCTGGCTGGCCCACCCAGGTACAGGGCGGCAGCCCTCCTGACCACCAGGGGGGCCCTCAGGCGCTCTAACACCAGGGTCCCAGGCTTGCAGCTCCTGTGGGCCGATGTCTCCCTCAGCCGTTAATGACAAAGGGATGTCCCGGTGTATGACTCTGGCCATGTTTCCTCACACCGCTAGATCTGGTTTTTATTTTCATCCTGACAGAAAACCCTTGTGGATGTTACTTTGGAGAATAGCAACATTAAAGCTCAAATCAGAAATCTGCAGCAGACGTATGAAGCCTCCATGGACAAGCTGCGGGAAAAGCAGAGGCAGTTAGAGGTAGCACAGGTTGAAAACCAGCTGCTGAAAATGAAGGTAAAGTACAGGAATGTAGATTTCCTGCTAACCTTTCTCTCTTCTCTCCTTTTCTCTCTTCTCCCATCGCCAACTCTCCCATTTCCCTTTCTCTCTTCTCTTCTTTGTTGGGCTTCCCCACCCTTTTTTGTGGCCAACCCCACAGGATTTGACTTGAAGGGACTGAGGGGGTTTCTGTGTTCACAGTGCAGATTGGGGGTACCCTGTACATACCCCTATTGGGCTCTCCTGCCGTGGTCCCAGTGGCCTCAAGGGCTACTGAGACCTCATCGTGGCACTGCTCTTATGTACTGAGAGGACACTTGGGCGGCCCACAGGTCCGGGACTCTGCAGAAGCTTCACTGCTTAGATTGTCTCTGAGGTTCCAAGGCCTCTTTGTCTGGTCTGACAATGAAGAGCTGAAGGGCCCCCAGGAAGAAAATGCGTGGGTGACCAAGGACTCTGGGCAGTGTCCCTCCTGCCCCCAGGTCGTGCTTGTTCCTCAGCTCAGCTTCTAAGGCCCTGGAGATGTTAGTGGTCCTTCCAGCTTTGAAACTTCCAGGAACCGACCCGCGAATGGCCCACAGAAGTCACGCAACAAATTATTTCCTGAATGAATTTGTTTTTATTTAAGCCTGTGCTTTTCAGATTGTGTTCAACACAGCCTTAGGCTATTCTAGGGGAGAGTGTGTTATGGGTAGTGTACCATGTGATTTATTGCTCAAACCAGAGTATGTTCAGGAGTGAGAGGAGGTGCTATTAAGAATTTAGTTAGGGGAACAAACTGGGCCACGCGGTCCCCTGCCTATGGGCTGCCTCAGGGACAGCTGATGCGGAGTACGGGCCACCACACTGTGTAGCCTCTGTGATGGCTGCCCCACAGGCTGTGCCCTCACCACCCACTTGGCCAAACACAACCACCTGGGAAGGGGGAGGGACCAGAGAGCTACACAGTCGATCAGCTCCTCTTTGCTTTCACTTCAAACAGGGATGCTCTCCTACGTTTTCATATATTGTATTTCTGCGTTAAGAGTTACTTTGGAAAAAAAGGCGTTTGTTGCTGAAAAATTCTGAAATGACTGGAGTCTTTTCCTCAATGTAGGGTCTCTATGCAGTCATTCATTCCACAAATATGTACTGAGTATCTACTCTCTGCGCCTGTGCTCTTCATCCATGTCTGTTCCAGAGGTGCTGTGGTGTCAGGGAGACCAAACCTCTAAATCCAGTCCGCGGTTGCCTGTTGTAGAGACTAATGCTTTGCTTTACCCAACCCCACACCCCCCAAATTACAGAAGTGACAGGACTCAGAGTATTTCATGTGACCTGGATGCAGCGTAAACAGGACGTGAGGGACAGAGCCCATCCTAGAAGTGGAGATGGAGTGCCGGACACGCTGGGTCTCTTTCAGCTAATGATAACCTCTCTTCAGGATTTCCCATTTTGTGGTTTCTTGGTACCAAAACTTGCCTAGAGATGAGAGGGGAGATTGAGAGGGCATCAAGAGAGACTTTTGTCCAGTCTTTGGAGTAAACATCATGTAGCCTATCGGGGTTGTAGTGCACCTTACTTATCCAGAGGTTACCTACCCAGCTAACTCAGCTCTCTTAAACAAGCAGTAAGCTGGAAGGAAGGGACGCAAACAAACCTTCAGAGGCATAAAATCAATGGCCTGAAGTTCACAGGTGAGGGCAGGGCCAGGGAAGAAAGGAAACACCAGCCACTCGCAACATAAGCCTGCTTGCCCACGGCTCTACTTTTTCTCATCTCCTAAGCTAGGCCTGTGCAAGCCCCCAGGAGCCTCCAGCTAAGGTCCCCCAAACCAGATGGGAATGTTTCCAAACACAACATTTGGAAAAGCACAAAGGTATGGAAGGGATGAGTCCAGATTTCTTATATGAGCTTAAGTGTTTCCTAGAGACTGATTGGCCAGTACAACTAATGGGATGGCTTCAACTCCATGTGGGCAGCTTCTCTTCAAAGGCCTTCCTGCTTTTCTGACTTAAAAATTTTTTTAAAGAAGTAATGTATGCACCTGGGGTGGGGGGGGAGAAGTCAAACAATATGAAAGGTAACATAGAGTGCATAGCCTGCACCATTTTACATTCTTACCAGCCATGTAAGAGGATTCCAATTTCTCCCCATCCTTGCCAACACTGGTTACTCTCTTTTGATTATAGTCATCCTCGTAGGTGTGAAGCTCATTGTAGTTTTGCATTTCCCTGATAACTAATGATGTTAAGCAGCATTTCTTGTGCTTATTGGTCATTTGGATATCTTCTCTGGAGTGTCTATCAGATCCTTTGCCCATTTTTAAATTGGGTTATTTATATTTTATTATTGAGTTGTAAAAACTCTTCATATATTCCAGATACAAGTTATTAGATAAATAATTTACAAATATTTCCCCCCACTCTAGGTGTTATCTTTTCAATTTCTTGATGCTATCTTTTGAAGCACAGAAGTTTTTAATATTGAATATTGATGAAGTCTTTTTCATCAGTTATGCTTTTGGTGTCATATCTAATTTTAATCAAAGGTCACAAAGATTTGCCTTATGGTTTTCTTCTAAGAGTTTTATAGTTTGGGCTTTCACATTTAAGCCTTTAATCCATTTCGAGTTAATTTTTGTATATGGTGTATTAGGGATCCAACTTCATTCTTTTGTATGTGACAAATCCGATCATCCCAGCACCATTTGTTGAAAGGTCTGTTCTTGTCCCAGTGAATGATCTTGGTAGATAATTGTTTAAAATTTAATATTTATAACAGATAAATTATTGACTTGGTTTCAAAGTTAAATCTACAAAACAAAGAAATAGAACATCAATATCTGTAATCTCCTCTTTTCTCTTTTACTCCCTCCTTCCTCCTATAGCAAACCTTTTTACTTGTTAATTTTGTAGGACTCTGACCCAAGTCCAATAACGTAGTGGTCTTATTTTCAGCCCACAGTAGAATACTGAAGAATTTAAAAAGCATATCTTTCTGAGGCCAATTAGAGTGTGGATATATTAACTAGAGAAAAAGGTTTGTTAAAACTGATAGAATAAAAGATGATAGGGCTTCCCTGGTGGCGCGGTGGTTGAGAGTCCGCCTGCCGATGCAGGGGACGCGGGTTCGTGCCCCGGTCCGGGAAGATCCCACATGCCGCGGAGCGGCTGGGCCCGTGAGCCATGGCCGCTGCGCCTGCGCGTCCGGGGCCTGTGCTCCTCAACGGGAGGGGCCACAGCAGTGAGAGACCCGCGTACTGGAAAAATAAAATAAAAAAAGATAAAATTTCGGGAGCAAAAGAACATTAGACAGGAAGAGTCATTGAGGAAAGAGGTAAATAAGGCAGTGGGGCATGATACATTTTAGAGAATTCAGTTTAAAAATGGCTAAATTTGGGGGGCAAGGTTGACACTTAGAGAGATACGTTTCTGCCTTTTGAAAAATTCACTCCTGTGGAGCACCTTTTCCAGACAATAATCAAGTAAATTAGTGTAAGGGGCCACTTTAATTTTCTCTGCACCTGCTCACCCCTTTTCCTTCCTCCTTCTACCTCTTTCCCCGTTAGTTCCTGCTGCCTCTGTCTCCTGCAGAGCCCTGGGGCACGGGTCCACTCCCCCGTGAGTCCACACTTGATACCTACAGAGTGAAAGGTGTGGATTCCCTCTGAGCCCAGCAGAGTTGTAGCTCTGAAGCGAGTCTCTCTGCAGGTGGAATCCTCCCAAGAAGCCAACGCAGAGGTGATGAGAGAGATGACCAGGAAGCTGTACAGCCAGTACGAAGAAAGGCTGCACGAAGAGCAGCAGAGGCACAGTGCCGAGAGAGAGGCGCTCCTGGTGTGTTATGTCCTACCTGCTGATGGGATAGCAGAGAGTTTGGGGTACATTATTGTTGGTGAGCTTTACATGGTAGGGTTTGTGCTCAGAGGTGAGTTAGTGGACTCTAATGTGGGTGACGGGTCAAGGAATTTATTATTTGCCGATTCACTGCTCTCCCTTCTCCCTCCCTTCCTTTACTCACCACCTTCCCTGCTTGGAATAGTCCTCAATCACCACTTTCTCTAGCTGGTCTGACCGTTAGCCAGCATCAGAGCAGATCCTGGGCTTACCTGCAGCCACGCCCTTTCTCACTCCATTTGCTCTTCCTTGCCCGTCCTCGATCCTACCTACGCTCCCTGAGAGCCCCGAAGATGCCAGCATCTCCACGAATGAAGTCTTTCCCAGTCACACACCTGCAAGTGTCCTCTGTCCTTGGGAAACCCACACTTTCTCTGCTCTTTGCCGTGGAATTCTCTTGTCCCTGTTATTGGAGCTGAGCTGTATGTCTCACATCTTGGCTTCTCTAGAAGAGCATACATTCCTTGAAGGCAGGGACTCCATTCTGCCTTATCTTGTGTCCTCACAGGCTTAATACATGTGCTGATTGATTGACTGAGTTGGTACTTTGCAATATGGGAGAAAGATCTGGGCATTCTGCATTCAATTCCAGATCCAGCCCTAATTCCGTTTAGGTTGTGTGACACTCTGAGCAGCCAGTCAGGGGATAAGTAACATTTGTAGGCTCTTTTTAGACATAAAGAGACGAGGGGGAAAAAAAGGAGAAAAAATAAGTAGGCCCATTAAGAAGCCATGCAATGTGTCTTTATTCACGGGTGAGAACCAGAATCATGGAATTTGAGTTCATGATCCGTGAGACACTTCTAGGCCCCCAGGTCATGCTTTTAAAGAGACACGATGATTTAGCCAGGCCTGAGCTGTTTGGACCCTGATTGGAGGCTACTCCACGCTCTCCTGAGGAGAGTGCGTTTCTTTTGCAGGAAGAAACCAATAGTTTTCTGAAAGCCATTGAAGAAGCCAATAAAAAGATGCAAGCGGCAGAGATCAGCCTAGAAGAGAAGGACCAGAGGATCGGGGAGCTGGACAGGCTGATTGAGCGCATGGAGAAGGTAACACAGCTTGGGGCCCGGGGCCCCCTCGCCCAGCCTCCCTTGCGGTGCAGCAGTTCCCCTGCAGGCCTGCCCCAAAGTATGAGAAGCCCTCACCACTTGATCCCTCTCATCCCTGCAATTTGTGACTCGAAAAAAACAAAGAGCAAACTGTAAAAGAAAGTATAAGGAAGTCCCACAAAGTTCTAATTTTTCCCATGGTGAAAATTTTGATGCTTCAAAAAACATTGCGTATAAAATTATTTACGGAAACAACTACTATTTTAGCAGCCCTGCTTTGCTGGGGCCCCAAGCATGAGCTCAGATTACTTGTTGAGCAGGCAAGCCCTGTTTCGACGTTACAGCGACACCCCAAGCCCTGCCTGGGTCTGAAGGGTTGGCTTTTTTTTTTTTTTTTTTTTTTTTCCTTGCGTTATGCGGGCCTCTCACTGTTGTGGCCTCTCCCATTTGCGGAGCACAGGCTCCGGACGCGCAGGCTCAGCGGCCATGGCTCACGGGCCCAGCCGCTCCGCGGCACGTGGGATC